CCCCCAAAGAGACTGGTACCTAAAATCCAGCACCTCGGACCTCTCGGCCACACTACCAACAAGAAACTACCATAATTCCTCACACACGGTTACCTGTGATTGACATCTGACTCTACAAATTTCCAGAGTGCAGTCTCCTGCAGTTCATGGAAGGGCCTTCCCTGTTTTATTGACCCTTTCTGATGAGTCTAGATGGACCGGTGGAAAAAGAACTCTTCCCAGATGTTTTCTTGTGACTTGTTGGCCTCTAGGATCCGTGTAGCTTTCCGCTCATGTGTCCTTGACACATGTCCGTTTCCTTTTCAGTCGATGCAGAAAGCGTCGCCAAGCAGCCCGCCAGCATCTTGGATTTTTTGTTCTGCCTCTGTCCTAGGCGTCTACATGTCTGACTTTCCTGGGAGGACCAACACCACCACAGTCCTACTTGCCTGCTCAAATGCATCTGGATAGGAACACCGAAGGAAAAGGAGGCACCGAAGGGATGGTTTCATGGCTCGTTGGTCTAGGGGTATGATTCTCGCTTTGGGTGCGAGAGGTCCCGGGTTCAAATCCCGGACGAGCCCACGTGCTTGTGGAGGTCGCTGGCCTTGGTGGTCAGGCACAGCTACCAATGGACCCATCGCACAGTTGTTCCTTTAGTACATTTGCCTCATGCTGAGTTGAAATCTTGGGTGCGTTCCAATACCCCCGCCCCCCTCCTCACTCCCCCACCACCCACCCAAAAGCATGTGGAGGAAAGGAGGAGTCGCCACGAAAACTGCACCAGCCAATCCGTTTCTCCTGTCATCAAAATTGTCGCTCCCAACCGATACCGAAGATATCTAAGCCAATCACAATTGTCATCCATCGCCAGCCTTTTTCATGCATTAAAATATAAATGTTAGTTACTCTCATTGTGCTGTTTGGAGTCATGATTTGACATAAACGTATGAACAAAGAAATCACTAAAACGTGCTGCCCTTTCAAATAATTTCTTACAACTTTTTCTTGCGTGGGTGGATAATATAGCTGATTTACAATGACAAAGTCAAAAAAATTGAATATTCTAAAAAATATATTCTAATATTCTTAAATCTAATATTTTTCTGTCAACCCATTTTTTTTTTCAATTTTGGAGGTAAGGCTATGACGAGGTGACCGAGTGGTTAAGGTGATGGACTGCTAATCCATTGTGCTTTGCACGCGTGGGTTCGAATCCCATCCTCGTCGGGTGTGCTCTCTGTTCTCTAGATTTTGCATGCAGTAAACGCCATCCGGTAAGCATGGTGGAAAAGCATAAGCGGACACCCAACCTGAGTTGACGATCCATGCCTCCTCCACACCCTTCTTCCCTCACAGCGCCCCATTGAGTAAAGTCATTGAAGTTCTTGCCTTAAACAGCAGCTCAGTTAACTTTTGGGGATGGCTATGTTGCTGCACAAGGATTATGGTGCCTGAATTCAAATCCTATATGTTTCAGGTGGCAAATTCAAAGTTTTAAGCTCCTCCCAAGAGAAAAAGTCACATTTAATGCCATGTGTCCCACCGTCAGCAACTGCCGACAAAGTCACCATTGAGAGACGGGCGTTGTTTTGTCTCTCTCCATGATGTGGTACTAGCACTTGCCAGGGAAGTCCTTGAGAGTGATGAAAAACAGGTCCAGCTGAGGGTGGCAATAGTGGGATTTGAACCCACACCCCCAAAGAGACTGGTACCTAAAATCCAGCACCTCGGACCTCTCGGCCACACTACCAACAAGAAACTACCATAATTCCTCACACACGGTTACCTGTGATTGACATCTGACTCTACAAATTTCCAGAGTGCAGTCTCCTGCAGTTCATGGAAGGGCCTTCCCTGTTTTATTGACCCTTTCTGATGAGTCTAGATGGACCGGTGGAAGAAGAACTCTTCCCAGATGTTTTCTTGTGACTTGTTGGCCTCTAGGATCCGTGTAGCTTTCCGCTCATGTGTCCTTGACACATGTCCGTTTCCTTTTCAGTCGATGCAGAAAGCGTCGCCAAGCAGCCCGCCAGCATCTTGGATTTTTTGTTCCGCCTCTGTCCTAGGCGTCTACATGTCTGACTTTCCTGGGAGGACCAACACCACCACAGTCCTACTTGCCTGCTCAAATGTATCTGGATAGGAACACCGAAGGAAAAGGAGGCACCGAAGGGATGGTTTCATGGCTCGTTGGTCTAGGGGTATGATTCTCGCTTTGGGTGCGAGAGGTCCCGGGTTCAAATCCCGGACGAGCCCACGTGCTTGTGGAGGTCGTTGGCCTTGGTGGTCAGGCACAGCTACCAATGGACCCATCGCACAGTTGTTCCTTTAGTACATTTGCCTCATGCTGAGTTGAAATCTTGGGTGCGTTCCAATACCCCCGCCCCCCCTTCTCACTCCCCCACCACCCACCCAAAAGCATGTGGTGGAAAGGAGGAGTCGCCACGAAAACTGCACCAGCCAATCCGTTTCCCCTGTCATCAAAATTGTCGCCCCCAACCGATACCGAAGATATCTAAGCCAATCACAATTGTCATACATCGCCAGCCTTTTTCATGCATTAAAATATAAATGTTAGTTATTCTCATTGTGCTGTTTGGAGTCATGATTTGACATAAACGTATGAACAAAGAAATCACTAAAACGTGCTGCCCTTTCAAATAATTTCTTACAACTTTTTCTTGCGTGGGTGGATAATATAGCTGATTTACAATAACAAAGTCAAAAAAATTGAATATTCTAAAAAATATATTCTAATATTCTTAAATCTAATATTTTTCTGTCAACCCATTTTTTTTTTCAATTTTGGAGGTAAGGCTATGACGAGGTGACCGAGTGGTGAAGGTGATGGACTGCTAATCCATTGTGCTTTGCACGCGTGGGTTCGAATCCCATCCTCGTCGGGTGTGCTCTCTGTTCTCTAGATTTTGCATGCAGTAAACGCCATCCGGTAAGCATGGTGGAAAAGCATAAGCGGACACCCAACCTGAGTTGACGATCCATGCCTCCTCCACACCCTTCTTCCCTCACAGCGCCCCATTGAGTAAAGCCATTGAAGTTCTTGCCTTAAACAGCAGCTCAGTTAACTTTTGGGGATGGCTATGTTGCTGCACAAGGATTATGGTGCCTGAATTCAAATCCTATATGTTTCAGGTGGCAAAGTCAAAGTTTTAAGCTCCTCCCAAGAGAAAAAGTCACATTTAATGCCATGTGTCCCACCGTCAGCAACTGCCGACAAAGTCACCATTGAGAGACGGGCGTTGTTTTGTCTCTCTCCATGATGTGGTACTAGCACTTGCCAGGGAAGTCCTTGAGAGTGATGAAAAACAGGTCCAGCTGAGGGTGGCAATAGTGGGATTTGAACCCACACCCCCAAAGAGACTGGTACCTAAAATCCAGCACCTCGGACCTCTCGGCCACACTACCAACAAGAAACTACCATAATTCCTCACACACGGTTACCTGTGATTGACATCTGACTCTACAAATTTCCAGAGTGCAGTCTCCTGCAGTTCATGGAAGGGCCTTCCCTGTTTTATTGACCCTTTCTGATGAGTCTAGATGGACCGGTGGAAGAAGAACTCTTCCCAGATGTTTTCTTGTGACTTGTTGGCCTCTAGGATCCGTGTAGCTTTCCGCTCATGTGTCCTTGACACATGTCCGTTTCCTTTTCAGTCGATGCAGAAAGCGTCGCCAAGCAGCCCGCCAGCATCTTGGATTTTTTGTTCCGCCTCTGTCCTAGGCGTCTACATGTCTGACTTTCCTGGGAGGACCAACACCACCACAGTCCTACTTGCCTGCTCAAATGTATCTGGATAGGAACACCGAAGGAAAAGGAGGCACCGAAGGGATGGTTTCATGGCTCGTTGGTCTAGGGGTATGATTCTCGCTTTGGGTGCGAGAGGTCCCGGGTTCAAATCCCGGACGAGCCCACATGCTTGTGGAGGTCGTTGGCCTTGGTGGTCAGGCAGCGCTACCAATGGACCCATCGCACAGTTGTTCCTTTAGTACATTTGCCTCATGCTGAGTTGAAATCTTGGGTGCGTTCCAATACCCCCGCCCCCCCTTCTCACTCCCCCACCACCCACCCAAAAGCATGTGGTGGAAAGGAGGAGTCGCCACGAAAACTGCACCAGCCAATCCGTTTCCCCTGTCATCAAAATTGTCGCCCCCAACCGATACCGAAGATATCTAAGCCAATCACAATTGTCATCCATCGCCAGCCTTTTTCATGCATTAAAATATAAATGTTAGTTATTCTCATTGTGCTGTTTGGAGTCATGATTTGACATAAACGTATGAACAAAGAAATCACTAAAACGTGCTGCCCTTTCAAATAATTTCTTACAACTTTTTCTTGCGTGGGTGGATAATATAGCTGATTTACTATGACAAAGTCAAAAAACTTGAATATTCTAAAAAATATATTCTAATATTCTAAAATCTAATATTTTTCTGTCAACCCATTTTTTTTTCAATTTTGGAAGTAAGGCTATGACGAGGTGACCAAGTGGTTAAGGTGATGGACTGCTAATCCATTGTGCTTTGCACGCGTGGGTTCGAATCCCATCCTCGTCGGGTGTGCTCTCTGTTCTCTAGATTTTGCATGCAGTAAACGCCATCCGGTAAGCATGGTGGAAAAGCATAAGCGGACACCCAACCTGAGTTGACGATCCATGCCTCCTCCACACCCTTCTCCCCTCACAGCGCCCCATTGAGTAAAGTCATTGAAGTTCTTGCCTTAAACAGCAGCTCAGTTAACTTTTGGGGATGGCTATGTTGCTGCACAAGGATTATGGTGCCTGAATTCAAATCCTATATGTTTCAGGTGGCAAATTCAAAGTTTTAAGCTCCTCCCAAGAGAAAAAGTCACATTTAATGCCATGTGTCCCACCGTCAGCAACTGCCGACAAAGTCACCATTGAGAGACGGGCGTTGTTTTGTCTCTCTCCATGATGTGGTACTAGCACTTGCCAGGGAAGTCCTTGAGAGTGATGAAAAACAGGTCCAGCTGAGGGTGGTAATAGTGGGATTTGAACCCACACCCCCAAAGAGACTGGTACCTAAAATCCAGCACCTCGGACCTCTCGGCCACACTACCAACAAGAAACTACCATAATTCCTCACACACGGTTACCTGTGATTGACATCTGACTCTACAAATTTCCAGAGTGCAGTCTCCTGCAGTTCATGGAAGGGCCTTCCCTGTTTTATTGACCCTTTCTGATGAGTCTAGATGGACCGGTGGAAGAAGAACTCTTCCCAGATGTTTTCTTGTGACTTGTTGGCCTCTAGGATCCGTGTAGCTTTCCGCTCATGTGTCCTTGACACATGTCCGTTTCCTTTTCAGTCGATGCAGAAAGCGTCGCCAAGCAGCCCGCCAGCATCTTGGATTTTTTGTTCCGCCTCTGTCCTAGGCGTCTACATGTTTGACTTTCCTGGGAGGACCAACACCACCACAGTCCTACTTGCCTGCTCAAATGTATCTGGATAGGAACACCGAAGGAAAAGGAGGCACCGAAGGGATGGTTTCATGGCTCGTTGGTCTAGGGGTATGATTCTCGCTTTGGGTGCGAGAGGTCCCGGGTTCAAATCCCGGACGAGCCCACGTGCTTGTGGAGGTCGTTGGCCTTGGTGGTCAGGCACAGCTACCAATGCACCCATCGCACAGTTGTTCCTTTAGTACATTTGCCTCATGCTGAGTTGAAATCTTGGGTGCGTTCCAATACCCCCGCCCCCCCTCCTCACTCCCCCACCACCCACCCAAAAGCATGTGGTGGAAAGGAGGGGTCGCCACGAAAACTGCACCAGCCAATCCGTTTCTCCTGTCATCAAAATTGTCGCTCCCAACCGATACCGAAGATATCTAAGCCAATCACAATTGTCATCCATCGCCAGCCTTTTTCATGCATTAAAATATAAATGTTAGTTACTCTCATTGTGCTGTTTGGAGTCATGATTTGACATAAACGTATGAACAAAGAAATCACTAAAACGTGCTGCCCTTTCAAATAATTTCTTACAACTTTTTCTTGCGTGGGTGGATAATATAGCTGATTTACTATGACAAAGTCAAAAAACTTGAATATTCTAAGAAATATATTCTAATATTCTAAAATCTAATATTTTTCTGTCAACCCATTTTTTTTTTCAATTTTGGAGGTAAGGCTATGACGAGGTGACCGAGTGGTTAAGGTGATGGACTGCTAATCCATTGTGCTTTGCACGCGTGGGTTCGAATCCCATCCTTGTCGGGTGTGCTCTCTGTTCTCTGGATTTTGCATGCAGTAAACGCCATCCGGTAAGCATGGTAGAAAAGCATAAGCGGACACCCAACCTGAGTTGACGATCCATGCCTCCTCCACACCCTTCTTCCCTCACAGCGCCCCATTGAGTAAAGTCATTGAAGTTCTTGCCTTAAACAGCAGCTCAGTTAACTTTTGGGGATGGCTATGTTGCTGCACAAGGATTATGGTGCCTGAATTCAAATCCTATATGTTTCAGGTGGCAAAGTCAAAGTTTTAAGCTCCTCCCAAGAGAAAAAGTCACATTTAATGCCATGTGTCCCACCGTCAGCAACTGCTGACAAAGTCACCATTGAGAGACGGGCGTTGTTTTGTCTCTCTCCATGATGTGGTACTAGCACTTGCCAGGGAAGTCCTTGAGAGTGATGACCCTTTCTGATGAGTCTAGATGGACCAGTGGAAGAAGAACTCTTCCCAGATGTTTTCTTGTGACTTGTTGGCCTCTCGACCCTTTCTGATGAGTCTAGATTCGGGGTCTCGAACTCAAATGACCTTGGGGCCGCAGATGGTAATCTCTTCTCATAGGACGTGCCACTTCAACATTCAAGTATCACTAAAACTGCTTGTGGCTTAATATTAAAGTGAAGCACTATCATATTCTCCACTAGAAAAAAAATACAAGGAAAATACATATTTTGCAAAGAGGTATGTTTTATAAGGACAAAATTAAAAGTATTAGTGATTACTGTCTTCGGTAAAATTATACTGGCTATATAGTAGTGAACCTAAACGCGTACAAACGAGGCACGTTTGAATGGTGGTCACTCTTGAATGGTATCTAAAGTGCAAATTTACATTAAATAAATAACCGCCAGATTACACTATATATTTGATATCATGTTGCGGGCTTCATTAATCAGGTCCAAGGGTCGGTTCTGGGCCCCAGGCCGCAAGTTTGACACCTCTGGCATTGAGTATCATCCTGTTGAAAGAGTCCATTTTCTGATGGGACACTCTTCTGCCATGAAGGAAAGCCCCTGATCCGTAATGTTGTTTGGATTATGCTACGGCATTCTAAAGTTTCTGTACTACTATCACAGAATCCATAGCATGCCACAGAAGCACACATTACACCACCACCATCAGCCCCCTGCCATCCTTCCTGCTGACACCAGGCATTATGGATCCATAGTCTCATTTTTGGCCATAACCTAACCCTCCCATCAGTGCTGACAAAGTCTTCAGGCTTTCAGCCAGAAAGAACAGGAAAGAATATGGAAGAAATATCTCTGTGTAAAACATAAAAACAAACCAAACCCCAGGATAAGAGGCAGCCATTTTATGCAATTTTAGAGAAAGAGCACGACTGGTCTGTTCTCTAATGGTGGGCCCTCATAGTGACTTGATCAATCTCCTCTCTGGTCCTCTCTTTGATTAGTCAGCCTTGCTGCCTTCAAAAGGTTGAGGGATTTGGCCTTGGAACATGAAGAAGGTTCTATTGACCAGTAAAACATAGCAGGGGTCTTAGAAGTAGAATGCCCACACTGTTCTATTGGATTGTGTGTGTGCGCTTGTGTGCGCTTGTGTGCGTGTGCATGAATCCCATCGGTCATTTTGCGGCACCTTTTCCCATCACAAAAACAACCTGCCAGGCAGGGGTGTAGGAGCTGGGTGGATGGTCCCGTCCCTTCAGAGGTATTACATTTGTATGCATTAATAAACGAATGATGATCTGTTATGTTCAGAGGCTTGGTGATGCAGTACAAAGTGAGACTGAGATACATTTATGTTCAGATTAGCTTAAAATATTATTACATATCATATTATTACATTATATATATATATATATATATAAAGAAAGAAAAAAGAATGTACAGTAGTCCAGCTTTGAAGATGAACATAAAATAAGTCTGAGATCCTGAGAGTAGATGGTGCTGTTCACATAGATCAACAATAGTCAGTTGTTAAAAAATGAATAAATAAAAACATGCAAGCTGTCCGCTCCTGTCTTTGATGGTTAAATAGCAAATACCAGGTAACCAAACTGTGTTGTCTTTATCATGAAAAGGCCGGCCATGAAAAAAACCCATGACATTCACCAACTGTTGTCTGAAGAGAGACCATTTTGAATCATGAGGGAAGCAATGATTTTTCCTCTGCACTATTTATACAATATGAAAAGACATAAATGGTGTGTCACATTCTCAGATTTAGTAAAACGGCAATCGTTCATTAATGAATACATGAACTCCGGTGTATAATTGCCTGTGATGAAGCTATCATTAGCTTTTGAAATATACAAGACTTCTGAAATGGTAAGCAGCCGTTCCTGCTGCTGAAATATTGATTTTTCATTTTCCATGCCATGTAACACCACTCAGCATTTTCATACAGCGATATAATACATCAATCTATTCGGATCAATCCTTCCTTTGAAAGAATTACTTTGCTCCGTCTATCACGGCGATGAAAACATTCACGATCATCACAAAATATATCAAAACAATATTGGAGTAATAAAAGAAAACATATTACAAGCCGCCGCATACAAATCAAGCGGTGGCACGGATTACAGCAAAGAATGTGGTGCTGCTGTATCCCCCCCCCCCCCCCATCTCTGTGCTCCATTAAAATTTCATGACCCATGCATATTTCTTTGAATGGCATTATACAAATTATGCAAAGTCATATCACCGAGCCTATTTGGAAATGCAAAGTTTGGTGTAGCAATGACAGAGGCAGATTCATGCGCTCCGAGAGGATTGCATATACAGTAATCTATTAGAGCGCTGCATATCTAAGCCTGTCTATCCCAGCCCCCGGGCCACACTGTCGTACTCCGTAAGACAGGAATAGCCGGGACCTGCTGTGCAACACGCAAGTCATTTATCAAAATGATACAGCGGGATCCATTCGCTGGGCACGGTCCCTCCGACATGTCACTCTGGCATCGGACGGGTCAGTGAAAAGCCAGCCACAGGTGTACGCGGGTAATTACGGGAACCGTCGTGTAGGAACCGGCGGAATCCTCTGCAAGGTGATAACCCTCGGTAATTGGTCTCAATCTCATGTGAGAGAGAGAGGGAATTGCATATGTATGAAGATGATTGCTCTGCTCTACAGGTTCTCAACCAGAACACTTCAGACACTCATAAAATAGACATGCTTGGATCAAAAGGGGAACATTCGCGTGCCGTGCGACCGCTCAGTAACCTGAATCATTAGGGATCCCTGACGGAATGAGCATGGAACGAACTCCCCATACATTTCTTATACACTGTGAAATGAGCAGGATTTGAGTTCTCCCCCGCAACTTTACTGCCGTTGTTGTTAAATTGTAAGCCATTTTTCGCATACATCATTTTCCATGGAAGCACAAGAAAGTCATGGTTCTTGGGACGTGTCAGACAACCACGGATTAGGCTGGAGGAATCATGATGAGATGAACCACCCCAGTGGCTTCAGTTACTCTGATTTATGTGGTTCAACTCTGCCCTCAGAGAATATTCTAGTAGGTTCTGCTCTCGTATCATCTCATATGTATTGTACTTTAGTAATGACATAATGCAGCCATTCTCAACCTATTACAATGGAAGCTCCTCAAAAAATAGTTTTACTTACACGGTGCCTCCACTTATTTAAAATGGCATTTTTTCTTTTACTTTTGGACTTTTTCATGCCCCCACCAAGTTGAAAGCCAGTGGTTTAATGGAATAAACCATTAAAACCACGTTTTACATTACCTACAGTACCCAGTTTTTCTTACTTGGTGCAGCCTCCTCTCACAAGGATAGCAACCTTGTCATCCTCAGCCATTTCCTTTACTGTTTCAAAGGTCTGAGGATGATTGGGAGTG